AACTCTTCCTAACAGGGTCATTGGTCCATTGTGCGAAATTTAAGGACGTTCAACGAGGGGGGGGGGGGGGCAGGAGTCATAAGCGCAAGGACCAGTCGCAGAATTTCAAGGGTCCGAGGTATAGCAAAGTAGCGAAGAAGAACAGACTCTGAAATGCCACTGCGATAACTATAGGTGAGTACATGGCGCATTCAAAGCAGGGGTTGTTACTGAATCGCCCCATATGTCAGTAAGCACCAAACAATTTTTTCAGAAGAATCATGTTGTCAGACCAAATCACAGTGAATTCACAGGATTGACTTCTAGAGCCCTATTATCGGCGAAAAATTCCCATTTTAGAGTTTCCCAGGATAAGTCAGCATAAGTATGAAGCGCTCATCGTGTGTCTTCCATGTTTTTACCTCTTCCCGTATGAACATATTTTTTTAATTCTATGAGCGTTTGTAGATTGAAAACTCGCGTCTCAGGAATGCTCCAAAAATCATAGGAATAAGGGGATGGAAGTAGCAAAGTAGCATAGCCACGTAGGCGATGTAGCGCATATGCAGGGCAGTGCGAATGCGATTTATTTTAGAATCTCTTTGTTTTAGTTATTGTAAGTCATTAAGGGGATGAGGATCGAAGAGACTCCCTGAAGGGTCGTAAATTTTGAAATTGGTATAAACTGCTGACCATGCTCGTGATTGGTGCCGTATTGGTGAAAATAACCTAACAGCCTCTTCTTTAAGAACACTGTCGGCATATGACACGGTTCAGAGATTATCTATAAGTTCAAGTGTTTGTCGCATCTTCAGCGATCACTGATCATGCAAACAAACTCCCCTCGAGTTCCTTTGAAGATTCCAAAATTCTAATTGATATAAAACAAAAAGTTTCTCAAAGATTTAGTCGCTATAGGTCCACAACTGCAAGAAATGGATGCAGAATCTGATTGGTGAATCTTTATTCCTGAAAAAAACATTGAAACATCTACCTATTTTGAATTGTGCGAATTTGAAGTCCTTGTATGGTTTATGATGCGTGGTGTACCTACATAGTATGATTGTTGATGGAACTTAAGTGGGTGGCACCTAATTGGAGGTCAGGCACTGTATTTTTCCCCATGGTTAGAATATTCTCGCGCCACGGTCACAAATAATTTAGGAGGAAATACTTGTAAAACACACAGAGAAAACATCTTCCTTTCACATTTCATATTTAGTCTTACACCCATGCCGGAACCGCTTCTCAATGGAGAGGTTAGAAAGCGTGAACGAGCCAAAGCTCTCTTCAGAGTTCTTGAATGTTCCAGCCTTTCCTCAGCCTCATTCACCTCCCTCACCTCTACACTAACAGAGATTTTCTAATCTCGTATGCTTGTGATAAGTCGATCTTCGTGTCTTGTGGCTGTACTGGAGGGGCCAGCATTTACTTAGTGACCGAACTACGGCACGGTACTGTTTGTGTGTTTTCTTCATCGAGACCGATGTTTGCTTTCGCTGGCGCAAAAACCAGCGTGATCATCCCGCGAATGCTCTTCTGTGAAATTTTTGTCGTCTTATCACACATCTGCTCTTTGCATGCCTTACGGCCTACCTGGAGTGCCTCGCAGGCTCCAATATTTCTGCAGGCACCTCAAGTGTCCGAGAACCTGCAAACGTAGATGCACAACTTTTGTTTCTTTAGAAGTTCAAGGATGTGGAGATTGAGGGAAAATACCTCATCACCACACGGGTTTTTGGGCCGAATCTCCCAAAGCAGATTTTCTCTTTATAATGGGCCATTTGGTGGTAGAATGCTGCAGAAATCTTCATCTGAAAAATCACCTGTTTAATGAGAGTCGTCTGGCGAGATGCTCGTTTAAATGCCATTCGAAAGTTTTAATGGGAAATAAAACGCGTGGCGCTTTCCCTGTGCTCATTGGCATATCAGCTTCCTTGTTCCTCAATCTCCGTTCTTGTTTCTGATCTTCTTCCGTGCGTTGCAGGTAGCTTGCATGTTCTTTACCTGTAAGGATTACTAACAAAAGGCAATTTTCGATGGGGTAGGGATTTGACGCTGGGTTAGAGTAGCATTTCCAGAAAGTAGCTACCATGAATTTACCGCTGCCACCACTGGTGCCATTCTAACCTTATCTGAATCGGTGGAGAGCTACCCTGCATGCATACAATTAGATAACATCTGAGAACTTTTTTCCGATGGGAAATATGAAGGAATCGAAGAAAGAGTACCCCTACTCTAACCTTCCATAAACTTCTTTTTCACACTCGTTACTCGTCTTTTATCCGTAATAACTTCGTATAGCATACTCATTACTGCGTCTTTTGATCACAGTTTTCATTACTATCTGCTCTATCACCAATGTGCAACAATCGCTTTGCCTCACATTTACTGATTTTTCTGGTACTGTATTGTTAGGCTCTGAGCTTTTTGCTGTAAATTGGAGCAACTAGGAGCTAGTTGTTGTGGAGCCTTCATAAATGCTTGGCCAATAGTTCGACTTTTTTCTGACTTCAGCATCGGCGTTTGTGATTCATGGCCCTTATCCCTTTAGATCGGCGGCTTAATATAGCAGGTGTATCGAATTAACAGATGGGACTCCATCCAGTCACCACGCCAATGTCTCCTCTCTCCAATTTCGTCTAAATAAATACCCAAGGATTATCCGGGGAGGGGGCGAAAAACATGGCTATGAATATAGGCCTGGCCCCTGCTGAAGTCTCACACATGAGCGAAATTGCATAGAAAAGCCGCTACAATCTAAATGATGCTCGGCGCCATCCCAATCAAAAGGGTGATCGCTCCAAATGATTTTTTTTGTTATCCCTTCAGGGTCACCCATACTGATAGGGTCAAAAGTGTTGCACTGAGATAATGATTTGAAATTTTTTAATTGATAGGAATTTATAATGCTATGTAATTAGACTATCTGGTAAAGCATAAATCGTTTGTCAAGGGCATAGGTGCAGTCAGTGAAGCTTTTTACAGTAGTTGGCCTTGAATCGGACAGATTTATTGATAGCAATACCCCTATCCTGTTTCCAACGGTCTCATTTCTCTTTCAATAGTATCATAATTTGATGGCGAATGTTTTGTTCTATTTCCAAATTTGGAAGCTTTTGAAATTCAAGTTAATTCCGTAACAGAATTAGCACTCAGGTTTGAAGGCTGTTATTGCTTGTATTTCATGGCTTTCTGGTTTTCTTGCATGTTTCATGGGATTAAAAGCGTCGCTATGATACGAGAACATTGTCGACCGGTTTCTAAACCTATTTCAGCCGCCAGTGAACATTTGGGCATTTGCGTGATTATGGTCATTATCCCTAACAGATCCACATCGTTTTAGGGTGGAAAGAATTGTACTGGCTATTGATTTGTATTGATTGCCAGGGAATTTCCTCACGAGAGACATCTTTTAAGATGTGAAGCGCTTTTTCAAAACGGTATTCTGCATTTCCGAGTACTCTTCGCTACAAGTCCTATGTATTGCTCCAACGCTCTAGTCGACCCTTCGGGCAAAACTTGCTTATCCTTTTCGTCTTCAGAACTTAGCGAACAGAACTGTTTCGTGGTCCATGTGAAAGTCATTACAGCATGAGAAAAATCGTTCTGAAAAAGCGCTCCACACTCTGGAAGACCTCCATGTTGGAGTAAATCCAATCTGAAAATATAACTTGTTCTCATATCTGGCAGATTAAAATAACGTGGAATTCCTAGGTTTTGATTTCAAGGTTAGAATGTGGCTCGGGCTTTTTATGCATTTATTTGCGATGATGTATTGAGGTGTTTTTCGACTTTTCCCAACTCTTGTATTTTCAGCTTCTTCTCAGCTTACCCGTGTTCCTTCTACTGCGTTTTGAGTGTTCGAGAAACGTGAGTTCTTTTTTTTTTTACATTTTTTCAGTTGGATAGAATGGTTTAGTGAGGCACTGTAGCTGCGAATGCAGTCAATACAACTCCTTTTGCTACTCTTGGTTTGATCAAAATGTTTTTGAGTAATATTACGATTTTCAAATTGTTCAGCTTCTACGAAGGGTTAACTGAACACGAACGAGCTCGCCGTATCCAGAACTACGGTACATTTGAGGGTGATCTACAGGCTGTTGAAGCGCGAAATCCGGCAGGGGTTCGTCTGCTAGAAATCGTTCCCTAATTTGCAGGGACGCTTTGAGAATCAATTGATTTTGTGCATTTTAGTCCGACGTAGCAGCAGACTGCTTACAGTGGGTGTCAACACAGTTTCTACTGGTCGCCTGTCAATCACATCCTGTTCTGTACACCATCGGCTTCTTCTGTATATGGTCTTTGCTGATAGTTTACTTTAAGGTAAGTTACTCAAAATATTAATTAAGTAAAAAAGGTTGGTGATCCAAAATAGGTAGACTTCAAGGGAGTTGCACTGGAAATAAGAAGGCAAGAACCTCTTGGGTAGAGCAAAGTATTGAATTCAAGCTAATGCATCCGGCTACATGATGTCAAATTAGGTAAGAATGACCGTCGAATGACAGTCGAATGCATTCAGAAATTGCCATGAAGCCTCAATGACCAAAATCAGGGCGAAAAAATCGATGGTGGACGATTTCATCGTGAGCCGAGTTCTAGCAAGGATAATGCTGAAACTCAAAGCCGTCAGAGAATATAAATCTAAATTTTAATTGTTTTTTCAACTGAGGCTGCTCCAAGAAAATGATGTTACCTCAACTTATGTGTAAAAGTAAAAATGTGTCCAAATTCGAAAACATTTTTGTGAGAAATAATTCAAGTGATTTTCCGCTCTATCCTTAGCTGGGAGATTAGCAAGGCACGACACCTTTAGTGGTGGCTCATGTGCTCATAAAAGGGCCAATGAGAGGCAGTGTCCGGGCTCAACTTCATTGAAAAAGTCTCTCTCGCGGAGCGGAGAGAGATGCTAGGTCCGCTGCAGGAGTCACGCCAATCTCGCGTCTTTAAACACATCACTAAAACGCTAGCCGCTTAGGTCTCGGATCATTTTCCTCTCAGAAGGACCTGCCCACCGTTTGATATCTTCTTTGAGATGTTGATCTGCTAAGCTCTCTCTACTCGGAGACATTTTCCCTCTCCACGACTCACATTATCTCTTATTTCACTGTCCGCCTCCGATACTTTTCCGCAACGCAACAATGAGGTTCGTATATTCTGTTTTTTTGACAGCCTCTTTTCCTTTTTTCCATGGCAGTTCACTTCGCATCTCTACTTCCATTTAAACTGAGACTTACCCCGGAAATTTGAGCCTTGTCCCTAAGAACCCAATTGATCCCCCAACAACATATGCTTACGGGGTGCAGGAAATGGTCTATGTAGGCAACGATAGGCCCATTTTCATCGACACGTAAACTTTAGATATAATTCCTTTTGGTATTATTGTAGCAGTTCAGCACAGTTTTGATGATTTCATTTGTTTTATACTCAGCACTTTGCATAGATTTCCATGTTCATAGGACGCTTTCACTTTTGCTATGTTTTTTTCAACATCAACTTGTTTTGTGACTCAGCGAGACATTTCGCATAAGAGTAATGATGTGTACAAACATGATAACCCTGTAATCTGTCATCGACGAGTGTACATTCGGCTAATGGAATCAATTAATTTTCGTTTTACTTTCGATATGTTCATCGTCGGTTTGGTGTTCTGGCAATGATTCATATCTTAGCCGATAAATGGTAGAAAAGCCACTGTCGTCCCGATTACCTTGCCGAAGAGTCCCTATCTCAATGGATGGTGTTGAAGCGCTATAACACAACGCAGTTTCGATGCCACTGCTGTTACCTGAGTATCTCTAAACCGTTTCTCTCTTCTTTTGGGTTTTGCTTTTTTGTCAATTTTTCGGATCTCGAGTAATTTTTGTTAATTGGACAGATTCACTTATGATTCAGCCTGTAATTATTTGTCATAGTGCATCAACCCTGTGAGCGAAATTTGCTGCTCCAAAAACGCTGGGGTTTTGGTTGGTGTTATATTTTTTGACTATATTTTATGGTTTTTATTGTCATTCGAAGCTTACGGTCCTCTGAGCATTTTGTGTACAACTCTTGTATAATTGTTTCTATGGAGTTTAGTATCAGTGTTTTTTCACCAGGCTGCGGGTTATGGGCAAAGCACTTCACCTGAGTGGAGAGGGTAGGGATCAAAACCGTTTCCGTTGTCTTTGAAGCGATGAAAAGCGAGAAGCGCTAGTCTCATTCTTGCCTAGGGCGACGTCCTGCCCAAAACCCATCATCTTCCTTCATCTTAACTTTTTTCTTTGCCCAAAGGAAGCAAAACTAATCGAAAACGAATCCTTGTTTTCTTCTGTGGGTAGCCTGTAAGCTCTCTACATATCCATCGAGGTCATGACACCTTTCATTGAGATGCGAGGATGACAATTTTTGAGAGAGATCGAGGTAGTCCCAGCCTTAAGAGAGCCTCAACCTGGTTATCTCACCTTCGAAGGCAGGGTTTTCGATGAGCTGGTTAGAGAAAAACCATGATAAACAGCACAGAACCTGAATACCTTCGCATGGATGCGACTCTCATCGGTGCTGCCCTCTTCAAGGTAACGCTGTCTGCTAAACGGCTAGCGTCAAATAGCGAGTGGGCGTACCGCGGCGAGAGCGGCGCGGAGAGCCACGCTGGATCGCCGGGGGTATATCCTCCGCTGCAAAATGCCGTTCTTTCCGCTAGGTAGGTAGGTGTCCCCTTCTTCAACCTACGACCATATCGTGGAATTCTGCTTGGTGCAGGTTGACAAAAATATCCCATTTCCGTCACAAACTAGGTTTGAACGGGTTTGGGCTGACCTTTCAAAAAGTGCCACCATATTAAGTAGTGCTTATATTTGCATATGAACATGAAAAATGTCGTGGTTGTTTGCAATTTCTTTTCAAAAGCTTGCCCCAGCGATGAATGGGGTGTTAACGTAGACTTGAATAGAGCGGTCGAACAGAATGTACAAAACTCTTCCGGCAGTATTGACATTGTTGCAAACAAATCCTCTAACTTCCTGAAGAACAAAGTATTTGAGATCTCATCAAATCGATATTTGAAGCGAAAAGCTTTTTGTAAGGTGCAGTTTCTCCAGATTTTCCGCGAGAAGAAATCGCTCAGCTTGCTTTCAGTTCTCCTTTTTCAATTCTTTATATGTAGAAGTGATCTCTGATGTTATATTAAGGGTGGGGGCGGAGGGCAGACAGTATCAGGACACTTCAAATTTATTCTGCTGTGTGCGTATCAGTAATGTCCAAGCTAACCATTTCCTCTATAGGAGTGGAAACAGTCAGATCAGACTATCTGAAAGGCTACAGGCGGGGTTCTGAATACCTACTACGTTTGTTAGTAGTTTCGTAATCCATTTTGTAGGCCTAATTCGCCTTGTAAAATTACACCAAAGAAGCTGAACAGAAATCAAATGCACCATTCATATCTGAATGACCGACACCGCTCCTTTTTCTTCTTTTGATTTCACGATTACAGACGAGTTCTGGAAATATTAGTGATCTTTTCCAGATTACTCATTTTCCCACATCGGCTTTTTTAAAGCTGATAGTTTTTATTTTCAGACCAGCTTTGGATTCTTCTGTCGTATTGCGTATCCGTTCTGGCTAAGCTTGATCATCTACACATCAGTGGTGATCATCTCGTTGTATGTGTATCAGTTCCCGAATGTGAGTTCCTGGTTCTTCCCGTACGGTTTCGATAAGAAGACGAACGCCACCCTCGCACAAAAGGCGCTGAGTAATGCGTAACACCTGATTCATTGCTCAATCAGATGCCAGTAATTCCACGGCACTGTTTGGAGTTCTAGGGTTATTCAAATAAGGTTATCATTTTGTGCCACCTTGAGCTGTCTGTTGTTCCTTACCGATCGTTCTTATTGATTTGTGCAGTGCTGAAAACCTGTCCAACCTCTGTTTATTATTATTGGCTTGGTCATTACTGTGTAAGCTCCCATTCTAAGAGCTACTTTAGTTTCCTGCCATCTGGACTAGGTGGACCGGCTTAGACAAGAGCTGGAATGACGACATCGGCTTAATCAACTACAGTAACGTTGGCGAATCCGGGTATACTCGTACTCATTTTTAGCTCTTATTTTTTATTGTTTTTTATTT